ACTAAGATCCTTTGTGCCGCAACGAAAATCCCGCATGCCACAACTAAGACCCAGTGCAGTCAAAAATAAAATAAATAATAAATAAATAAATATTAAAAGATAATAAGGTAGGAAACACATTTCAAAGTGCTGATCAAATTTTGGTTATTACTGTTGTAAGTCCATAGAAGGGTACCTTCCATAAAGGAAAAACACATCCCTTTCTCACTGATAAGCCATCACTGACCCCGGTAAATGAGGAAAAGGTGAGGTGAATGCCATGAACATCTTTTCATTCATTCATTTTTCATTTCACAAAAAATCGAAACTACATAGAAAAATTATCTGTATCTATGGCAGACAGATTCTACCTTTTATAAGCACATCAAAAAATATGAAGTACATAGGAATAAATAAACCAAAAGTTGTGCAAGATTTTAACAAAGAAAATTACCAAACTTATTGAGAGACGTTAAAGATAACTGAATTAAATTAAGAGATAGACCATGTTCACGGACTGGAAGACTCTATATTACAAGATGTCAATTCTTTCAAATCAATTCTAGAGTCAATGCAATTCCAGTTAAAATTCCAACAGGTTTTTTTAGTAACATTTGACAAGTTAATTCCCATCTTACGCGAAGATGCAAAGGGAAAGGAACAGCCAAGCTGTGCTACAAGAAGAAGAGGAAGGAGGATGGGGGGGGTGGGAGGAGGAGGAGAAGAACCAGAAGGAGAAAAATGGAGGACTCGTACTACCAAATATCAAGATTTGTCATGAAGCTATAATATTTAAAACAGTATGGATTGGTACATGGGTCAACAAACAGACCCATACAATAAAGTCCAGAAGAACTTTGTATTATGTAAGCACTTGATACCTGATAGAGGCAGGCAAAGGACAGTTTTTTAGTGAGTGCTACTGGGACAATTAGCTACCCGTATAAGTTAAACAGAAATCAACTCCAGATGTATCCAAGTCCTTAAGGTAAAAGGCAAAATTATAAAGCTTTCAGAAGATAAAATGGGAGAATATCTCCATGACTTTAGAGAAGAAAGCTTTCTTAAACAATTATAAGATGTACTAATTGTTAAAGAAAACACTGATAAAGCTTGACTACATTAAAGTTAAGAAGTTCTGTTCATCAAAAGATACCATTAAGAGAGTGAAAAGGCAAGCCACATAATCACGACATACATAACTGATGAAATGATTTGTATCCAAAATATATAAAGTAGGGACTTCCCTGGTGGTGCAGTGGTTAAGAATCCACCTGCCAATGCAGGGAACATGGGTTGGAGCCCTGGTCCTGGAAGATCCCACATGCCACAGAGCAACTAAGCCCGTGCGCCGCAACTACTGAGCCTGTGCACCTAGAGCCTGTGCTCCTCAACAGGAGAGGCCACCGCAATGAGAAGCCCATGCACTGCAACAAAGAGTAGCCCCCACTCGCCGCAACTAGAGAAAGCCCGTTGAGCAGCAACGAAGACCCAATGCAGCCAAAAATAAGTAAATTTATAAAAAAATATATATATATATATAAAGTACTCCTTCAAATCAGTGAGAAAAAACAGACAATCCCATAGAAAAATAGGAAATATATTGGAATGGAATCAGTATTTCGCCAAAAAAAGGAAAAAATATATATATGTCCAATAAACTTCATTTACAGAGAAATACTAGATTACAATGATAATGATACAACACTACAGACCCACCAAATAGGTAAAAAATTTTTAAGTTGGTATTATTAAGTGTTGGGGATGTAGAGCTACTGGAATTCTCAGACACTGCTGTTGGGAATATAATTGGTACAACCACTTTGGAACACTGGGGTTATCTACTAAATTTGAATGTGTGTATATTTTCACTCTTAGATACCTTCCTTAGAGAAACATATGTACATCTGTACCAGAAAACATGTACAAGAATATTCATAGCAGCATTTCTCAGGAGCCAAAACACTGTAGACCACTCAAATACCCATCAAGAATGTAACAGAAAAGTAAATGATGGTATATTCATATACAGCTGGGGTCAGGAAACGTTTCCTGTGAAGGGCCAGGGAATAAATACTTTAGGCGTTGCGGGTCTCTGTCTCAAAATCTTAGTTGTTTTTTCTTCCCAAACTTTATAAATATAAAAAGCATTCTTAGCTCATGGGCCAAACAAAAACATGGCCCATGGGCCATGGTTTGCCAACCCCTGGTGTAGAAGAAAACTACACAGCATTGAAAATGAATGAACTACAGCTACCTGCAGCCCTGTGAATGATTATTACAAACATGACATTGAGCTAAAGAAGTGACACAAATACACATGCATATATACAAATCACATATAGAAAAATCATAAATAAAAGCCATAGGAATATAATTCCATTTATATAAAACAGGCACAATGACACTATAGGATTTAGAAATGTACAGATAGGCCTTAAAACCACAAAGAAAAGCAAGAAAATAGTTACCATACAAATCAGGATCAAGGATACTTATATGTGAGGGAGGGGGTTGTGACCTGAAAGGGACCTCTGGGCGTCTGGCAGTATTTAATTTCTCGACCTGGATGATGGTAACAGAGGTGTTGGCTTTATCACTATTTGTTAATTTGTGTTTGTGTTTGTTATTTGTCAAGTTGTGTGTTTATGTTTTATGCATCTTCCTATGGGTATTGTGTTTGGATGGATCATCACCTAAGGTCGACAAAGACAACAGTACAGGAGAGAGTTGAAGACAAACGTCTGGGCAGATGGCATACCACTCAAGTAACATGGGAGGGCGTCTGAAGGGAAGAGGATGATGTCCCTAAGAATAGAGGAGGCTGGTAATGTCCAAATATATGGACTTCAAAGGCGGAGACGCTATTGAACCAGAAGGAGAAGCCCTGGTTAGAAGCAGCTTTGGGCAGTGGGGAGAGGGCTGCCTGATTTTTCTGGTCCCAGTTGGGGGCTGGTACTGGAAAGTCATTCTACACATTTCACCAGAGCATAGACACTGGATGGGCTGGAAGGACCATCAGGAGAAAAGAACAGGGCTGACAGGGCGTGGCAGGGCAGTTTGGGGCAGGCCTGAACAGTGTAAGATGATAAGCAGTTTGTGCCCTCTCTGATGCCTCAGCCCCCAAACACTCCTTCATGGGCACAGGGAAGCAGGCAGAAGAGCTGTGTGCAAAGGGGAGAGATAGAGATTTTTTTTTTTTGCAGTACACGGGCCTCTCACTGTTGTGGCCTCTCCCGTTGCGAAGCACAGGCTCCGGACGCGCAGGCTCAGAGGCCATGGCTCACAGGTCCAGCCGCTCCACGGCATGTGGGATCTTCCCGGACCGGGGCACGAACCCGTGTCCCCTGCATCGGCAGGCGGACTCTCAACCACTGTGCCACCAGGGAAGCCCCAAGATGGAGATATTTTAAATACATATTTCTTAATCTCTATTTTACAGATCAAGAAATTGAGGATCAGGGAGGTTAAAGGATGTGTCCAGGGTCACAGATTAGTAAATGATGCCTGGGACCCCAACTGGTAGATGTAGTAGTCAGGGTTCCCAAGAAAAACAGAATAGATAGGGGAAGGAGAGAGAGAAAGAGACAAAGACAGAGAGACCCAGAGAGAAAGAGAGATTGATTTTAAGGGACTGGCTCACACCATTGGCAAGTCTGAACTCAGTAGAGCAGGCCAGTGGGCTGGAAACTCAAGCAGGATTTCTATGTTTCAATCTTGAAGCAGAACTGCTTCTTTCAGAAAATCTCAGTCTTTTGCTCTTAACACATTTAACTGAGTGGATGAGGCCCACCCACATTGTGGAGCGTAATCACCTTGACTTAAAGTCAACGGAATAAATCATAGAAACCTTCACAGCAACATCTAGATTAGGGTTTGACCAAACAAGTCAGCATCATAGCCTAGTCAAGTTGACACATAAAATTAACCATCATAGCTGGATATAAGCACCCAGTATCGACGGACTCCGGCCTAACACACGGTGATCGAGTAAACTTAAGCAGGTATCTCAGGTAGGGAGCACGGCCACATATGTGTTCCCACCATACAGTGAGGAAAGTGAGGCAAGGCCATATTAACTGACCTGCCTGGGCCTCCCAAGTAATTAGCGTCAAGGCTGGGTCTGGCTCCCAGTCTCCAGCCTCCAAACGCCCTGCTCGCTCCTCCTAGCCATGCCACTGTCCGTGGCTGCTCCTCACTTTCCCTCTGCTCTGGAGCAGCTCAGGTGCTAAGCCCAAGCCTGCCAGGCTTGGGCCTTGCAGTGCTGTCCTGTTTCACCCTCCTAATGAGAACATTGAACTGCTCTTGGAAATTCATTTCTTTTTTTCTAGACTATTCAGCAGAACTATATGAGGGATGCTTAATGCTAAATCATGCAAACTCCTGTGTCAGGAATGGCCTCCCTTCTCTCTGGGCACAAAACAATCACTAGCCATCCTGTGGCTCAAGGGTCCACAGAGGTGCAGGCCTTCTCTCTCCCTCTCTTCTCACAGGACCTGGTGGCCCAGGTTCAAGAACAATTCCATCAGGTCAGAGACTCTCTCTGGACCACTTGGTGGGCACAGTACTCATCAACCAAGGGTCCCCAAAGGAAGCAGACCCCTCCTGAATTTCAAAAATCAACCAACTTCCCGTGAAAGAGTGACCCTTGCTTAGCAAGGCAAAGCCACACCCGCTTGCGGGTTCGGACCTAGCGAGCATGTTTGGGCAACTGTTGGCCAGGAGCCAGTTTTACATCAGGAACAAGTAGCATCTTGGCAAATCATTTATCCTAATAGAAGAGTCCCTCATATTTGAAGGGGTCAGCGACATTGGAGGAGAGGCGTGAATCTCAACGCTGGGTGATGTCTACCTCTCAGATTGTACATTAGGAGCTATAATGAGGAGAGTGGAACCAAGAAGCGAAGGAATGGTTTGCCTGCTGCCTCTGCAGGACGTGTGCTCTGTGGCTTGTGCAGGAAACACTGTGCAACACCAGTGGGAGTGAAATGTATGTACTTTCCCCTCTTGGAGTGAGGGCTGCAGCTCTTAGGGGCATGAAAGAGAAATGGTGGGGGATTGTCTCTTCCAGAGAGAGATGGCTAGAAAAGCTTAGTGGATCATAGGTCAGTTCAGATCAGATCAATTCCCCTCTATGTGCCAGCGCCAGAGATGAACAGATGAACAAGACACAGCCCTTGTCTTCCCAGAACAGACCAACCGGTGGGGGAAATAGACAGATAATATCAATAAGATATAGTATCAGAGAGACATACCCAGGGTGCCATGGGAGCCTGGTGGAGGGACACCTCATCACGAAAAGGGGTTGGGCTACGTGAAAGAAACGACACTTGGGCTGAGTCTTTAAGTATGAACAAGAACTTACTCATGGAAGAAAGTGAGAAGAGCGCTCGGGCAGGAACAACAGTGTAAGCAAAGGCCCAGAAGCATGACCAGCATGGGCGAGTTAAGGAAACGAGCTGAGAGTTCCTAGGTCAGAAAGTAGGAAGGTAGGAGGGCAGGGAGCTAAGGCCGTTAGTGAGGGAGGGGCCAGGCTCTGTATGCCAAACTAATAAACAGGTTAGACTTTATTCTATAGGCTATAAGGAGGCCCAACAGGCTTTAAATAGGGGTAGGACCCATTTATAGAGTTCCAAATTGCAGTAGGTGTCACTGATTTCTGTATGCCCACCTTCAGACTATCAGGTTCCAGAGTGGTCTTTCTAATGCACAAATCCAATGATATTGCATGAGTGAATCAAAAGAGTTATTCAGGAACAAAGAGAAAGGTTGTCAAGCTGCACTGAGGATCCCGCGGAGATGAGAAATCATGAATTTGCAGAGCCGCCAACTTGCACTGCTGTGTCATGTTCTCCATGATGGAGACAGTCAGAATTTTGCCATGTCAGACTCGAGAGTGAAGAGTGCTGGTGAGAGAGCAATTTTGATAACTCACCACAGTGGTGAAGGTTGGGTAAGAAGGAGCATAGCGACGGCCCAGCACCTGAGTCCTGGCCTCGCTCTTTCCTCACAGGACAAACAACATGAGCTTCAGTGCCCAGTCCACCTTCTCCAACTACCGGTCCCTGGGCTCCGCGCATCACCGGGCCACCGGGTCCGACTGGTCACCAGCGCTGCCAGCGTCTATGCAGGCGCCGGGGGCTCAGGCTCCCGGATCTTTGTGTCCCACTCCACCAGCGTCCAGGGCGGCTGGGGATCCAGGAACATGGGCACCGGGATGGCCAGGGGTCTGGTGGGTATAGGGGGCATCCAGGGCAAAAAGGAGACCATGCAAGACCTGAATGACCGCCTGGCCTCTTACCTGGAGAGGGTGAAGAGCCTGGAGGCCGATAATAGGAGACTGGAGTGCAAAATCCGAGAACACCTGGAGAAGAAGAGACCCCAGGTCAGAGACTGGGGGCATTACTTGAAGACCATCGAGGACCTCAGGGCTCAGATTTTTGCAAGTTCTGTGGACAATGCCTGTCTTACTGCTGATGACTTCAGAGTCAAGTATGAGACGGAGCTGGCCATGTGCCAGTCTGTGGAGAGTGACATCCACAGGCTCCACAAGGTCATTGATGACACCAGTGTCACCTGGCTGCAGCTAGAGACTGAGATGGAGGCTCTCAAGGAGGAGCTGCTCTTCATGAAGAAGAACCACGAGGAGGAAGTAAAGGGTCTGCAAAACCAGACTGCCAACTCCGGGTTGACCGTGGAGTTGGATGCCCCCAAACCTCAGGACCTCAGCAAGATCATGGTGGACATCCGGGCCCAGTATGACAAGCTGGCTCAGAAGAACCGAGAGGAGCTGGGCAAGTACTGGTCCCAGCAGACTGAGGAGAGCACCACAGTGGTCACCTCTCAGACCGCTGAGATAGGAGCTGCTGAGATGACACTCACGGAGCTGAGATGCACCGTCCAGTCCCTGGAGATCTACCTGGACTCCATGAGAAATCTGAAGGCCAGCTTGGAGAACAGCCTGAGGGAAGTGGAGGCCCGCTATGCCATGCAGATGAAACAGCTCAATGGGGTCCTCCTGCACCTGGAGTCAGAGCTGGCCCAGACCTGAGCAGAGGGGCAACGCCAGACCTAGGAGTACAAGGCCCTGCTGAACATCAAGGTCAACCTGGAGGCTGAGATCAACACCTACCACCGCCTGCTGGAAGATGGGGAGGACTTCAGTCTTGGTGACACCGTAGACAGCAGCAACTCCATGCAAACCACCTAGAAGACCACCACCCTCAGGCTTGTGGACGGCAAAGTGGTATCTGAGACCTCAGACACCAAAGTTCTGAGGCATTGAGTTAGCAGAAGCAGGGTGCCCTGGGGAGCAGGAGGCCAAAAAAAGTTGAGACGTCACTGTAAAAAAAAAAAAAAAAGGAGCATAGCACAGTGCCTGGTACATGGTGGGTGCTCAGTACATTTTTGTTGAATGATGAGAAGATGGGAATGACAGTTACCAATTTTACTCACTGGTGAGTGTGTGTCGTCCCATCCCCCCCCCCCCCCCCCCCCCCCACCCCCCACCCCCAGTCTTCTAGTAAGACACACCCACTTTCCTGACATGTGATCCAGGGCTGGCCAATCAGAGTACTCCACTCCTCTCCCATGACCACCATAGGCCCCAATATGGTCATGTGACCCACAGCAGGCCAATTAGTGCTCTTCCCAGCACTGCAACTGGGACTAGCTGGAAGCCAGCCTTTTGCCTGTAGAATTATACTGGAAGGATTAAAGTCTAGGGCTCACCACAACCATCTTCACCACACAGAGGAGCCCTCTCTACAACAGCAGGGAATGACAGAGCAGAGCTGAGAGATGAAAGCACCGTGCTATGCTCCTTCTTACGCAACCTTCACCGCTGTGGTGAGTCATCAGAATTACTCTCTCACCAGCACCCTTCACCCTCGAGTCTGACATGGCAAAATTCTGACTCTGTCTCCATCTTACACATCTGTCTTTTCTGCTGGTCTGTTGCTGGAGAACATGACACAGCAGTGCAATCTGGCGGCTCTGCAAATTCATGATTTCTCATCTCAGCTGGATCCTCAGTGCAGCTTGACAACCTTTCTCTTTGTTCCTGAGTAACTCTTTAGATTCACTCATGCAATATCATTGGATTTGTGCATTAGAAAGATCACTCTGGAACCTGATAGTCTGAAGGTGGGCATACAGAAATCAGTGACACCTACTGCAATTTGGAACTCTATAAATGGGTCCTACCCCTACTTAAAGCCTGTTGGGCCTCCTTATAGAAATGGAAACACTGGCCAGGGTCATCCCAGCCTATATAACACCTTTGTGTGAATTACGGAAAAGCACCTTTGCCTCAAGTTAAAAAAGCTCTATGTTAATATATCAGGGTACAGGGAATTCCCTGGCAGTCCAGTGGTTAGGACTCAGCGCTTTCACTGCTGTGAGCCCAGGTTCAATCCCTGGTCAGGGAACTAAGATCCTGCATGCTGCACAGCACTCGGCAAAAAAAAAAAGAAAAAAAAAAATGTGTGTGTGTGTGTGTGTTTGTATGTGTGTGTGTGTGTATATATACACACACACACATCCATATATATACACATATATATTATATATTCCATATATATCCCATATATACATATATATCAGAGTATAACCTGAACAACCATAAGTCATGGGCCCTGGAAATAGAAACAGAGGCGGCTATGCCTTCTGCCATGTTCAGTAACCATGAAGGAACATTCTAGCCCCAGTGGCCATCCTGCCCTCTGAGGAAGGCTGGAGTTGGAGGGCAGGGGGACAGGAACGTGTCTCTGAGAGCCGCAGGTGAGAGAAGCAGTCTTAGGGGAGGCAGGAAGTGGTTGGGATATGCACGGTTGCACCTGTGTGAACATATCTCCTGAGCCTGTTTAGGGCTTCGTATGCCAACGTGGCTTTATTAAAGAGGCGATTCTCCCTCACTGCTCCAGGACTCAGCTGAAACTGTCCCACCTACCTCATGTGGTAGGTGAGCTGTGACCTCATTCACATTGTATGTGAATGGCATGTATTTCACATACAATGCCATGGGAATGGCCCCCCGTTAGATGTGGTGCCCTTGTGCAGTATACAAGCTGAACAGTTGTACAGGGACCCTGAGTCTGACAAGCTCCTCTGACCCTAGATATCGTACCCCTGTCCTTCCCAGTTGAAAAGCCAGCAAAACTCTTTCTCTCTGAGCAAGTGTAAAATGGGTACCTACCATTTGCCACTGGAAAAGCCCTGACTATTAATACACACTGACAAACAGAATGAAGTGTAACAGACAGGTCAGGGCCCAGACCCCAGGCTCTGGAGGTTTCTGTAAGTATTAAAATGGCAGTGGGAAGGAGACGATAAGAAAGCCGTTTAAGATGTCTGAGGTAGAGTTGCTCTCGGTAACAGCAGAGTTGGAGATGGGCCCTGGGGGTGGGGACTGAAGCAGATGGAGGGAAGGGGAGAAAGTTGAGCGGAGAGGCTGGGCCACCCTCACAGGCACTGAAATTCCCCAGGCTGGTTGCAGGCAGGACGTAATCTACCTCAGAGAATTATGGGTAATTTCCTTTCCCCTCAAACCCTTCCCCTCCTCTGTCCCACTTAAACTTGATTGGTTGGTTTGTGCCTAAATTTGCAAGGAAGCCCAGCTACCCCAGCTAATGAGGACTGTTTACTCTTTCTATCGCTGGAGTGGGGAACGGGGGAGCCAAATAAAATCCAGTGTGTTCATCCCACAGGGAGGAAATCCCAAAGTGCCCCTGAGGCCTGGAGACGCACAATTTGCACCCTTCGATTCCCACCCCATGCCAGAGGAACTGTAATTTGCTGAAGAGTCTCAGAAACTTCGATGTTATCACTTTGCTCATCTCTTTCCAAAATCACCTCGAGTAACCATGATGCAGTGGAAAAAATGTGAACTTCAAAGTACAACAGATCTAGTTTGAATTCCAGTTCTGACCTTGGACAAGTTACTTGATATTTCTGAACCTATATTTCCTTAAGTCTAAAAAAAGGGGGAGTGGGGCACTGCGGAATTCCCTGGTCCAGTGGTTAGGACTCAGCGCATTCACTGTGGTGGCCCAGGTTCAATCCCTGGTAGGGAAACTAGGATCCTGCAAGCCACGTGCTGTGCTCAGCCATAAATAAATTAATTAAATAACAATTCCCATCTCATGAGGCTGTTGTGATAGTTACATGAAATCATTTCTATAGAGCCACTCCCTTAGTGCCAGCACAGAGTTCCCACTTCTACCACTGTAATCCTTCCCCCCAAAGCCCCAGTGGCATCAGACCTCCCCTTCCATTAGCTGTAACTGAACATGAGGATGGCCACACGGAGTGGAGAAAGAGAACTGGCTGAGGTATTAGGAGCCCTGCACTCCAGATGTGGCTTTAGGACTTCAACGGGCAACACCCAGCCTGTCTGGTCCTCGATTTCTTCATCTGTAAATGCAGGTGGTGATTCCAGCCGTGCTCAACTCACAGAATGGATACGAGTTTTAAGGGAGCTAATGTGATTTGTAAATATCAGCAAAAATGGACATATTAAAGTACTAGTGAGTGACAGCAGTTTAGAGTGCTGCTTTCCTGAGAAGTATCGCATTTTCCCCTGCAGTAAAATGGAACCAGCCATTCATTTAATAAAGCTGAATTGGGGCATCCATCATGCGTCCAATCCTGTGCAAAGGATTAGCTCATCAATAACCCTTCTTCCGGGCTTCCCTGGTGGCGCAGTGGTTGGGAATCCGTCTGCCGATGCAGGGGACACGGGTTCGTGCCCCGGTCCGGGAGGATCCCACATGCCGCGGAGCGGCTGGGCCCGTGAGCCACGGCCGCTCAGCCTACGCATCCGGAGCCTGTGCTCCGCAACAGGAGAGGTCACAACAGTGAGAGGCCCACATACCACAAAAAATAAAAAAATAACCCTTCTTCCTCGGTGCTACTGGATACATGGGTTGAACATTCATTTATTCATTAAATAAATAAATCTTTACTGAGCTCTTGAGACTTGAAAGGAGTTACTACCATATTTATCTCTTATAGGACATATTTAAGTCTTAATAATTTCGTTGACTGTCACCTCTTTCTGACTAGACTGTGAGCTATTTGAGGACAGGTGAGATTTGGGCAAGATTCAGTTTCTGTTAACTGACCAAATGTACCCACAGGACTGACTCAAATGACCCGGTTGCCATGAGCTGCTTCTCTCTGACCGTTAACTATACTCATGGGGGCTGCTTGTCACCCAAGTCAGACCCAGGAGAGGGAACTGGACTCACCACGTTTCCATCACTCCAAAGGAACTACTGTTTGCCTTCCAGATGACTCAGAAGTCTCAAGGCCCTGGCCTGGCATCAGACCCCAGGTTAGCCCAGGGTAGTATCCTCTCTGTGAGCACAGCCTGGCATCTGCCCAACCAACATGTAAGCTCTCTGGTCCCTCTGCGCCTCACGAGGCTCAGGGGCCATTAGAGCTGGCTGGGGCCTCTGATATTAATGAGGGATGCTCTCAGCACAACTCAGCACTGCTTCCTGGGCATCAGCCCACCAGGAGCAGAGACAGATCTCGCTGGCAAATGAGCTTCCCTCCAAGGCTGGGACAATCCAAGGCAGCCCACTGGATGGGTGGTGTGGGAAAGATTTTGCTTCTCTTTTTCCCTTTGTCTCCTCCCTTCCTCCGTCTCCCATCTCCATCCTCCCTTCCCTTCCTTGTCTCGCTTCACTTTCTTTTTTTGTCCCCTCCCCTCATGCACACTTCTTCTTACTCTCTTTCCTTATCACTTTTCCTGCTGTCCCATTGTCCCCCTCCTCCTTTATCTGATGCCTACCTCCTTTCCTTTGCTCTTTATTTTTCTCACCTTTGTCTAATCCCATCTCTCTGCCACCTTGCCTCTTTCTGTCTTTTGTATACGTCTGCCTCTGTCTCTCTTTCCCTGTTTTCCTCTTTCTCCCCTCCCTCTACATTTCTAACCCTCTGGCCCTCAATCTTGCAACCACTACAGAGGCAGGAAAGCATGGTTTAGGGCACAAGAAAAGTCCAATTCTAATAGGACACAGAACACATAGAGGGGGTAAGCAGAAGAGCCTGGGATGGTATTTGAAATTATCTATGAGACAACCTTGAAACCAGGTTAAAGAGGTTTTCTCCTTCCAAAATAAAACACAATATCATTTCGCACGCACAAGACTGGATAAAAATTTGACTTGACCAGTTGTTGGCAAGGATGTACAAACAATGGAACTTTCATACGCTGCTGGTGGAAGTAAAATGTAAAATGGTGCAACCACCTTGGAAAACTATCTTTTTCTTTTCTCA